ACCACTGCGCTCCAGACAGAGACATTCTGTCTCAAAAAATAAAAATAAAAAAAGTAAGTAAACTGTTTTCCTGAGTTCTGTGAGCTCTTCTAGCAAATTACTTTTTTTTTTTTTTTGTTTTTGAGATGGAGTCTCACTCTGTCATCAGGCTGGAGTACAGTGGCACAATCTTGGCTCACTGCAATCTCCACCTCCCAAGTTCAAGCAATTCTCCTGCCTCAGCCTCCCAAATAGTTGTGATTACAGGCATCTGCCACCACGCCCGACTAAGTTTTCTTGTATTTTTAGTAGAGACGGGGTTTCGCAATATTGGCCAGGCTGGTCTTGAACTCCTGATCTCATGATCCACCCGCCTCAGCCTCCCAAAGTGCTGGGATTACAGGCGTGAGCCATCGTGCCTAGACTTTTCTAGCAAATTATTGAACCTGAGAAGGGGGTCATGGGAATCCCCAGTTCGTATGTCAGAAGTATGGGGGGGCCAGGACTTGCTCCTGGAGTTTGAAGTGGGCGCAGTCTTGTGGGACTGGGCACTTAATGTGTGGGATCAGATGCTAACTCCAGGTTGAGAGTATCAGAATGGATTCAATTGTAGGACACCCAGATGGTGTTGGAGAATTGGTCGGTGTGGAAAAAGAAACCACACATTTGGTGTCAGAAGTGTTATGAGGAAAAAAAAAAAGCATTCCACAGGCACTGTTGAGGAACCATGTGTATGGCTGAATCCTATTTTGTAAAAATAAAATGATGTGTACAATTCTTCACATATGATTATACATGCATGGAGAAAATCGGGGGGGATACATAGGCAACAGCTAAAGGAATTACCTCTGTGGAATGGGAACAGGGAGGCGGTGGCTGTGCTAGTTTGCTGAGGGTGTCATAACAGAATGCCACAGATGGGGTGGTTTAAACAACAGGAATGTATTTTCTTGCAGTTCTGCAGGCTGCAAGCCCAGGTTCCAGGCGTCAGCAGGTTCGGTTTCCTCTGAGGCCTCTCTTTGTGGTGGGCAGACGGCCGCCTTCTTCCTGCAGCCTCACATGGTCCCTCCTCTGCACTCCTGCATCCTTAGTGTCTCTTTGTGTGTCCAACTCTCCTTCTTCTTTAGATGGAATCTTGCTCTCTGGCCCAGGCTGGAGTGCCAGATCTCAGCTCTCTGCAACCTCTGCCTCCCGGGGCTGAAGCGATTGCCCTGCCTCAGCTTCCCAAATGGCTGGGATTACAGCTAAGCACTGCCACGCCCAGCTAATTTTTTTTTTTTTTTTTTTTTTTGGATGGAGTCTCGTTCTGTCACCCAGGCTGGAGTGCAGTGGCATGATCTTGGTTCACTGCAACTTCCACCTGCCAGGTTCAAGCAATTCTCCTGCCTCAGCCTCCCAAGTAGCTAGGACTACAGGTGTGTGCTACCATGCCCAGCTAATTTTTTTGCATTTTTAGTAGAGACTGGGTTTCACCATGCTGGCCAGGCTGGTCTCAAATTCCTGACCTCGTGATCCAGCTGCCTTAACCTCCCAAAGTGCTGAGATTACAGGCATGAGCCACTGTACCCAGCCCCCAACTTTCCTCTTCAAAGTCTATCAGTCAGGCTGGGTGGCTCATACCTGCAATCCTAGCACTTTGGGAGGCTGAGGCGGGCAGATCACGAGGTCAAGAGATCGAGACCATCCAGGCCAACGTGGTGAACCCCGTCTCTACTAAAAGTACAAAAAATTAGCTGGGCGTGGTGGTGCGTGTCTGTAGTCCCATGGTTTCACCATGTTGGCCAGGATGGTCTTGATCTCTTGACCTTGTGATCTGCCCAGCTTGGCCTCCCAAAGTGCTGGGATTACAGGCATGAGCCACTGCACCCGGCCAACTCTTTAAAGGCCCTGTATGCAAATATAGTCACATCCTGAGCTACAGGCAGACACACCACCATTCAGCCCAAAACAAAAGTTTTCACCTTTTTTTGTTTTGTTTTGGTAGAAACGGGGTCTTGCTATGTTGCCCAGGCTAGTCTTGAACTCCTGGGCTCAAGTGATTCTCTAACCTTAGTCTCCAGATTAACTGGGGCTACAGGAGCACCACCATGCCCAGCTAATATTTTTATTTTTTGTAGAGTCAGGGTCCTACTATGTTTCCCACGCTGGTCTCAAACTTCCAGGCTCAAGCAATCCTCCTGCCTTAGCCTCCCATAGTACTGTGATTCCAGGCCTGAGCGACAGCACCCTGCTAGCTTTCACTTTTTACTTTATTTCTATGTTGTTAAAATGTATTACAATAAACATTACTTTTTGTGCAATTCAATCCAAATGTCCCTGAAGTATCCACCTCCTTCTTGGGCCTCCTCTGAAGTCAGAGTAGGGGAGCTGAAGCCCTCCCTCTGCCGGCTCCAGGGACAAAACCCGGGCCCATTAAGGACCTTCCCCTGGGGAAGCTAAGCACTGCCCCTGGGGAAGGTGGCATGAAATAAGAACATTCAGTACCTGTCTGGCCATCACCGAGGCCTTTCCCAGATAGCCGACATGGTCTTCAGACCACCCTGCCAAACATCAGGTAGAGGCTGGGTGAGGTGGCTCACGCCTATAATCCCAGCACTTTGGAAGGGTGAGGCAGGTGGATCATGTGAGGTCAGGAGTTTGAGACCAGCTTGGCCAACATTGCAAAACTTCATCTCTACAGAAATAGAAAAGTTAGCCAGGCATGGTGGCACGTGCCTGTAATCCCAGCTACTCAGGAGGCTGAGGCGGGAGAATCACTTGAACCTGGGAGGCGGAGGTTGCGGTGGACCGGGATCGCACCACTGCACTCCAGCCTGGGCAACAGAACGAGACTCCATCTCAAAAAAAAAAAAAAAACCAGGTGGAGGGGCATCGTCTGTTTTCCAGGCTCCTGGTTTATAGCTACAAGCTCTGGGCATTTAATACCTTGTAATAACCCATCCTTCCCTTATATACCTCTCAACATAATGACTCTACAATATGGCCAATGAAACGGATAGTAAAATGAAACATAGGCAAGTAATAAAGTGAAATATGAAGAGAGTAGTACATTCTGGATGAGGGTGGAATGCAAAATTGTCATCAGACAGAGAAGACGGCAGGAGAACCTGAGAGCTAGAGCTCATCTACCCAAAAGAGGCGATACAAAGTAGAAAGATGGCCAGGGAAAAATCAGGGAGAGCCACCACTTGAAAGACTCTCAGGAAGCTGAGTGAGGTGACTCACATCTGTAATCCCAGCCCTTTGGGAGGCTGAGGCAGGCAGCTCATCTGAGGTAAGGTAAGGAGTTTGAGACCAGCCTGACCAACATGAAGAAACCCCATCACTACTAAAAATACAAAATTAGCCAAGGTGTGGTGGTGCGGGCCTATAATCCCAGCTACTCGGGAGGCTGAGGCAGGAGAATTGCTTGAACTCGGTGAGCCAAGATCGTGCCACTGTACTCCAGCCTGGTCAACAAGAGCAAAACTCTGTCTCAGAAAAGAAAAAAGAAAGAAAGGCTCTCAGGAAACAGTGATGAATCAGTCTTTAGCATTAAGTCCCAGGGGAGAGGTGTGGATTTAGGGATCCCTTTAGATATGGTAGAATTCTCCTGGGTCCTAGTCTGGTCTTAAATCTCAGACCAGTAGCAGGAAAACCCTAACTGTACTGTGGTCCTGCGTGTCACTGCAACTTCAGCCCTGCTGTGATGGTGTATCTGCTCCTTTGGTTGGCTTTGCCACCTTTCAAGATGAGACCATGTGGAGCAGAGCCAAGGGGCCTCAGCTGACAGCCAGCACCAACCATCAGTCATGTGAGTGAGACTAGCTGGGATCCCCCAAGCCCAGTTGGGTTGTCAGATGACTATAGCTTCAGCTGCAGGAGTGACCCAGTGACACCAGCAGATGAACCGGCTAGCTTAGCCCAGCCCAAAGTGCTGACTTAGAACCGTTGTTATTTTAAGCCAGTAAATTTTCAGTGACTCATTACAAAGCAATAGATAACCGTGACAGTCTAAGACGATCTAAGTTTGGAAATAGTATTGAATATTTAAGATAACTGATTTGCCACACTTACAAGTTTATTAGTATGTAAGTTTCTTGTCCAGCAGTGGCTCACACCTGTAATCCCAGCACTTTGGGAGGCTGAGGCAGACAGATCACCTGAGGCCAGGAGTTTGAGACCAGCCTGGCCGACATGATGAAACCCCATCTCTACTAAAAATGCAAAAATTAGCTGGGCATGGTGGTGGGTGCCTGTAATCCCAGCTACTCAGGAGGCTGAGGTAGGAAAACTGCTTGAACCTGGGAGGTGGAGGTTGCAGTGAGCCAAGATCGGGCCATTGCACTCCAGCCTGGGTGACAGAGCGAGACTCTGTCTGAAAAAAACAAAATAAATAAATAAATAAAGAGAGTTGCTTGGCTGGGCACAGTGCTCATGCCTGTAATCCTAACACTTTGGAAGACTTAAGCAAGAAGACTGCTTGAGCCCAGGAGTTTGAGACCAGCCTGGGCAACACAGTGAGACCCCATCGCTAACAAAAAAAAAAAAAATTAGCTGGGCATAGTAGCATATACCTGTAGTCCCAGCTGCTCAGGAGGCTGAGGCTGGAGGATTGCTTGAGCCCAGAAGGTCAAGGCTGAGTGACCCATGATTGCTCCAGACCCTGTAGACCCCATCTCCACAAAAAGGAAAAAAGAAAAAGAGTTGCTTAAGTGATAAGAAAAAAAAAGCCTTGTAAATCCTTTTTTTCCTTCTGCTGGGAATCTGAGGTGTTTGAGAGATCAGCTACTTTAACTCTGTAAAATAAAGTTTAAAATCTATTAGAGAATTTAATTACCTAAGTTTGTAATTGGCATTCATTTTTAGAAGAATTTAATCTGTTGAACTTATGAGTTAATTAAATATTAATCAAAGAATAAGTGAACATAATTGTTCTTATTTTCATAAAAAATTAGAAGGCTTACACATAGAAAACTAGATTTACAAATGGCACTTGGATGTTTAAGAAAAACTAGTTTTTAAAATTTATTCGTTTAATAAATACAGCATTAATTTAAAGACAAGCAGCAGTAGGTAGCTTTTCTCTGCACAAAAGCCCCTCTCCATTAAAAATCCTCAACTGACACCCTATGGCCCAGTGGAAGACTAAGCATTCCACAGACTTCCATGCTTTTGCTTCTGTGGGTCCCTCTGCCTGGAACACCCCGACACACACACACCTTCTATACCTGGCAAAAGTTTACTTTTTCCAAAAGGTCTAGCTCAAATTCTACGAAGATATCCTCCTTCTCCAGTGTCAGAATCCGGCTTCCTGCCCAGGACCACTTGTGCATGTGACCCAGGCCTCCAGTAGACCTCGGAGAGCTGTTAACTGGGACCTTCTGTGTGAGAACAGAGCCGAATCCCAGCAAGAAGAAACAGTAGCCCTGGCACATAGTGGGCATCCAGGGAGCTTCAGCAGCCTGGCCATGTAGGACACGGATTTTGGAGATTTCTGAGCAGGCAAATAACATGATACAATTAAAAATATATATATATACATGTTTGTTGGCCAGGTGCAGTGGCTAACGCCTGTAATCCCAGCACTTTGGGAGGCCGAGGTGGGTGGATCATCTGAGGTCAGGAGTTTGAGACCAACCTGACCAGTATGGTGAAACCTTGTCTATAATAAAAATACAAAAATTAGCCAGGCATGGAGGCCCGTGCCTGTAATCCCAGATACTCAGGAGGCTGAGGCAGGAGAATTGCTTGAACCTGGGGGGCAAGTTTGCAGTGAGCCGCGATTGCACCACTGCACTCCAGCCTGGGCAACACAGCCAGACTCTGTCTCAAAATATATACATACATACATATATACATACATGCTATTTATTTATTTTTAGAGACAGGATCTCACTGTGTTGCCCAGGCTGACCTCCAGCTGATCTTCCTGTTTCAGCTTCCCAAGTAGTTGGGACTACAGGTGTGACCCACTGCACTTGCCTTGATTTTTTTTTTTTGAGACGGAGTCTCATTCTGTCACCCAGGCTGGAGTGCAATGGCATGATCTCTGCTCACTGCAACCTCCACCTCCCAGGATCGAGTGATCCTCCTGCCTCAAGCTCCCTAGTTGCCAGGACTACAGATGTGCGCCACCATGCCCATTTAATTTTTTTTTCTTTTTTGTATTTTTAGTAGAGATGGGGTTCCACCATGTTGGCCAGGCTGTTGTCTAGTTCCTGACCTCAGGTGATCCACTCCCCTTGGCCTCCCAAATTGGTGGGATTACAGGTGTGAACCACTGTGCCTGGTGGCTACAAAGTTTTTCTTGTGGTTTTCTGACAGTCTTATTGAGGCATAATTAGCACACGATACACTGCACATATTTGCTTCTCTGCAGAGTTCCCAGTAAAAAGAAAGTGCATTCATTAAAAATGTACAATGCGGTGAGTTTTTAAATTTTCTTAAATTACGTTTTTTGTAGCGATGATGTCTTGCTATGTTGCTCAGGCTGGTCTTGAGTTGTGCAAATAATCCTCCCAGCTGGGTCTCCCAAAGTGCTAGGATTGCAGGCAATAGCCACTATGCCCAGCCAAAATGTGGAGAGTTTTGACATAAGGATCTATGAAACCATCACAACAATCAAGATAATGAAATTATTCTACATTAATTCTAAGTTAATCATTTTTGTTCAGTTGTCTTTTAGAGATGTGATCTTGCTATGTTGTCCAGGCTAGAGTGCCGTGGCTATTTATAGGTATACTCAAAGTACACTACAGCCTCCAACTTGTGGCCTCTTCCACCTCAGTCTCCCCGATAGCTGGGTGGAAGGTGGCCTCTAGTTGAGGACCAAGACTTCCTTTTTTCTTGAGATGGAGTCTCACTCTGTCACCCAGGCTGGAGTGCAGTGGTATGATCTCAGCTCACTGCAGTCTCTGCTTTGCAGGTTCTGCCTCAGCCTCCTGAGTAGCTGGGATTACAGGCACAGGCACCAAACCTGGCTGATCTTGTTGTTGTATTTTTATTAGAGATAGGGTTTCACCATGTTGGCCAGGCTGGTCTCGAACTCCTGATCTCAGGTGATTGATCTACCCGCCTTGGCCTCCTAAAGTGCTGGGATTATAGGCATGACCCACTGTGCCCAGCCTGAGCACCAAGACTTTGTTTTTTGTTTGTTTGTTTTTTGAGATGGAGTCTTGCTCTGTCGCCCAGGCTGGAGTACAGTGGCACGATCTTGGCTTACTGCAACCTCCGCCTCCTAGGTTCAAGTGATTCTTCTGCCTCAGCCTGCCGAGTAGCTGGGATTCCAGGTGTGTGCACCACACTGAGCTAATTTTTGTATCTAGTAGATATTTGGTTTCACCATGTTGGCCAGGCTGGTCTCAAACTCCTCACCTCATGATCCGCCTGCCTTGGCCTCCCAAGTGCTGGGATTACAGGTGTGAGCCACTGTGCCTGGCCAAGACTTTATTTTTTTTTTTTGAGATGGACTCTTGCTATATTGCTCACTGCAACCTCTGCCTCCCAGGTTCAAGCAGTTATGCCTCAGCCTCCTAAGTAGCTGGGACTACAGGCGTGCGCCACCACAACCAGCTAATTTTTTGTATTTTTAGTGGAGATGGGGTTTCACCATGCTGGCTAGAATGTTCTCGATCTGTTGACCTCATGATCTGCCTGCTGGCCTCACAAAGTGCTGGGATTATAGGTTTGAGCCACTACACCTGGCCTGGCCAAGACTTTCTTATGGCTGGGGCCTCAGCCTCTGCCTCATAATCCTCCTCCCTACTCATTGCCAGGAAGGTTGCACAGGACAGAATAACGGCCCTCCAAAGATTCCACATCCTACATCCTACAACCTGTAATATGTTACATTACCTGGCAAAGGAGAATGAAGGCAGCAAATCCGCCAAGTAGAGAAATTATCACAGATTATCTAGGTGGGTCCATGTAATCACAAGGGTCCCTGAAGATGGAAGAGAGAGCCAGATGGAGAGCATCAGAGGGAAATGCCCCTGCAGAAGAATGCTCAGAGGCAACCGTGGTGGCTTTGAACATGGATGAAGAGGTCTTGAGCCAAAGAATGTGGGTGGTCTCTGGAAATCAGAAAAGGAAATGAAACAGACTCTCTGCTAGGGCTTCCAGAAAGGAACAGCCCTGGCGACCCCTTGATTTTAGCCCAGTGATACCTACATCAGATTTCTGTCCTATAGAACTTTAAGATACTATATGTGTGTCATTGAAGCCAGTGAATTTGAAGTAATGGCACAGCAGCAATGGAGAAGTAATATACAGCATCACCCACATGCTTCATTCCACCAATCAGTGACATCTGCATAACTACCTTCCAGACCACAGATGGGAACCAAACACACCCGGACCCAAGTCGGGGCTCCAATCCTGACCCTGTGCTGACCTCGGACCAGTCATCTCACTGCCTAGCGGTGGTGAGAGCTGAGGATGTAATGGGCTAATGGAGGGAGCGGGAATGGACACAGAGGGCTTAGCTCAGTACAGTTGGGGCTTCATGCCTATAGATGGCTGTCCTGGCTGCAGGTGGCAAGGTCTTTCTTTTACTCCGAGTGACTGGAGGGGCTACAACTGGTGAGGTGACCCAGAGCCTGACTCCTGTGTCTTGAACCATGTCTTGCTGATGTTTTCAGGAGACGGTGCAGGCCTTGCTGGCGGTCCTGGAATGTTGGGGGCCATGGGCTTTTCCCTCCTGGCCTCTGGCCTCCCCTTTGCCCTCACTCCCAAGACTGATTAATGCCTACCCTGCTGTTGGCAAGTCTATGCTGATCTTGTCTTGGGTGGATTTAACATCTGAGGCGCAAGGCTGAGCCCATGTCACCATCCCAGCCGTGCCATCTGCATCCACAGCATGTCAGGGATCCGCCCACAGCCGGTCAGGGTTATTGCCACACTCAGAGCCGGAGGCCTGGAACACAGGAGCAACTTTGCAACCAGCAACTCTCTTATTCCTGACTGACAGCTCAAGGAGCTCGGCTCTCAGGGGCTAGGGTACCCCGGGGCGGCAACACTAGTACTGGAACCTTCTCCAAAACCCTGGCTTGTTCCCCCCGGTATTAAAATATACTCATTATTATTACTATTACTTTTCAGATAGGGTCTCACTCTTGTCCAGGCTGTAGTGCACTGGTGCCATCATAGCTCTCTGCAGCCTTGGACCCTTGGGCTCAAGTGCTTGCCCACCTGAGCCTCTGGAGTAGCTGGGACTAGAGGTGAGCACCTACTATCAATCACACCGAAGTCATTTTTTTTCCTCGGGGTAGAGATGGGGGGGTGTCTCACTATGTTGCCCAGGCTGGTTTTGAAATCCTGGCCTCTGATAATCCTCTTGCCAAAGCCTCCCAAAGTGCTGGGATTACAGGTGTGAGGCACCTATTCAAATATTTGTTATTATATTCATTATATTATAATGGCATAGTTTGTATTATTATATTTATCATAAAGTAAGATTAATAGTACAGGAAAAGATGTAAAAGTACTTAAAAATCCATCCTCATGGATTTTGTAAAAAAGAAAAAATACGAAGAAAACATAGGCCGGGTGCAGTGGCTCACACCTGTAATCCCAGCACTTTGGGAGGCAGAGGCGGACCGATTACCTGAGGTCAGGAGTCAAGACCAGCCTGACCAACATGGTGAAACCCCGCCTCTAAAAGAAAAACAAAAGAAAACATCACCCCAATTCTTCAATTTGAATGCCACTTGAGGCCCAAGTGTCCTGCCTCCAAATTCCACTATTTCCACCCTCAGCTCCCCGACTGTCCTAGATTCTGCTCCAGCCGAGCCATGGCATTGGGGCTATTAGGAGGAACAGGCTCTGGGTAGGAGTTCCCAAACCAGATTTACCCGTTCGTCGCACCTATCCCTGGGAGGGCGGGCTGGGGTGTGGAAGCGGTGCCCCGCGGACCCGTGGGGAGACAAGCCCTGGTCTCCGAGGCTGCAAAACGCTCGGCACCGCGGGAGCCGCTCTCGGCTCTCCCAACTAGGTACCGAGCACCCCGCGCGCCTGCTCCGCTGCGGAGCCGAGAGGCAAAGAGGGCCGGCGCTGCGTGGAAGGCCCGGGGGCTTCAGCCCGTGCGGGGGAAACCGAGGCGCAGCCAACCAGGAAATTGGAGGCAGCCGAGGCCACGGGGAAGCCGGGGGAGGTGCCCGGGGGCCACGGGAAAGTGGGAGGGGCTCGGGCGTGGCTCCACCCGCGGCACTAGGAGCCTGGGCGGGCGCGCACGTGTGTATACAAGTGCGTGGGCCCACTCGGCGTCCCGGACTACAAGTTCCGGCGTGCCCAGCGGCGCTCCCGGGTTTTCTGGCCGCGCCGCCCGCTGGCTCCGAGCAGGTCGCCACTGGCTGGCAGTCGCCACCCAGTCCCAGAGTAAATAAGGGAGAGACACTCCCGCGCACCGTAAATAGAGTCCAAGTGGGCGGAGAGCTGCCCCGCGCCGCCTGCTCATGTCTCTGCAGAGCCGAGTGTCCGGCCGCCTGGCACAGCTGCGCGCGGCGAGGCAACTGCTGGTCGCCCCGCGCCCCTGGCCCGGGCGCTTGGGGGGTGCCCCGCGGACCCGCAGCAGCGCGTGCGGTCCCCCGGCGTCCCTGGGCGCGTTTGGCCGCCAGGCGCAGACCTCAGCTGGAGTTGGGTCGTGGGGGTCGGCGGCGGTGGGGCGGACAGCCGGGGTGCGCACTTGGGCCCCCCTGGCCATGGCGGCGAAGGTGGACCTGAACACCTCCACCGACTGGAAGGAGGCGAAATGTAAGTGTAAGCACGAGGGTCTCGAGGGAGAGGGCGGCCCCACGTGGGGCTTCCTGGCTGAGCAGCTCCCAACGAGCGAGCAGCCCCTTCTACCCGGAGACCTGGGGAAGCTGAGGCCCCATCTCCCCTGGAACGGACCCCTCCTGTCCATTCACAGCCACCCCCAATCCGGCCTGTTCCCACCCCTATGGAACAGTTGACTCCAGACCAGGTCCCTGTGTCCACGCAGTGTGGCAGCGAGAGGAAGGAGGCCTTCCTTACCCCACTAGAATGGGTCACAGAGTACCCCGAGATTGTGCAGGAGCTGCCTCCTCCCCTGTGTGGGAGGAAACTGAGGCCGAGTGCCACAGCTGATTTCCCCAAGGTCACTTTGGGAGCTGTTGTCAAAGTGGAGGTTATGATCTCGGACTCCCCAAACTTTGCAGTGTGGTTCTCAAGTGCTCGGGAATAGGCCCAGGGAACAGCTCCGGGGCTGGCGTCCCACCTGGTGGGGCGCGTAACACCACAGAGTAACCTCCTTGGGCTGGCCTGCCTGCCCTGCCTTCACCCCACCCCAAGCGTGCACTTTGCCTTCCTGGGCACGTGGTCTGGTGACCTTTTCCCCTCCTCGCTGGCCTCTGGCCACTGTGAGCAGCTTGCTCGTGCCAGGAACAGAGGTTAGAGGGGCAGGGCAGAGGTGGCGTCTTGTTCCTGTGACAACCGATGATACCCCCAAGAATCACGCTACCTCCTCCCACTCCTGGGAGGGGCATGAGTCCTGGGCCTGGGAAGGGAGAGAACCCGAGACAAGCCCCAAATAGGCCTGCTGGGCACCCAGCTGCCCCTGCCGTTCAGGGCCTGCCTCCTGGGATCCTGTCTCTTCCCAGCTGGATCCCCTTTCAGAAGTGCAGGGAAGTGGCTCATTGGCTGGGCCCCCACGGTGGAGTGGGCGCGGCCTTCGGCTGGGCGGGCAGGATGGAGGAGCCTGCTGTGTGAGGACTAAAAAGAAGCTGGCTGTCTCGGCAAGGGAGGTGGAAATCAGAATGATTTACTCCTGACATGAATTGTGTGGCCTGCGCCGGGATCTGAAAGTGACGCCAGAAAGCAAGGACTTCAGTCCGCGAGCAAATGGAGAACTTGTCAGGTGCTTGGCCTTTGCCCCAGAACAGCAGGAGGAGTGGGGGCTGGCAGAGACCCCTGGAGGGGGAGCCGCTGTCCCCACAGAGACCCCTGCTTCCCCCAGCACTCTCTCAGAGAACAATAACCCAGGAGGGTGGGAAAGAGCTAAGGAGACCAGTCACCCAGGCCCCTGCTCATGAGCTGCCACTGTTTCTAGGATCCAGCCCCCACACCCCACTCCTCGGTGCTATGAAAGCAGCCAGACCTGCTGGGGCCGGGGTTCCCCGGCTGCTGTGCTGTCCCTGGGGTCTCCCTCTTTGCTTCTAGCTGGGATTTCCAACCATGGAGCAGACTCTTGATGAATGCCCTCTAGGTGGCCAGGCTGAGGACTCAGATGTACGTCAGACAGGCAAGGGCCCTGCCCTCATGGAGCTTGCCATCTAGTGGGAAGATTACAAAGAATGTATTGTAAATAATGTATTCTAGCAGCCCCAAGGCCCGGTAACCTCAGTGCTGTGAAGACGCCATGGCGGATGGGGCCATCTGAGCTGGGGTGATCAGAGGAGGCATCTCAGAGGTGGTGGCCTAGAAGAGGCCTCCAGCTTGGGAATGGCATTCCAGACCTGTTACTGAGTGATATTGGGCCAGGCTCAGGAGTGGGGCTGGTTTGGGGCTCTGCCTGGCACTGAAGCCACAGTTGGAGCTTTTGGGGGTGGGACCTGGAGATCTCCCAATAGTTATGTGTTGCTGTGTAACAAAACACCCGAACCTTAGTGACTTAAACCTGCATCTTCTCAGTCCCTGAGGGTCAGGAAAATGGAGGGAAGCTTAGCTGGGTGGTTCTAGCTCAGGGTCTCTCTACCCTGAGGCCCGCTGGGGCTTGGTTAGGGTGGGAGGATGGGCGTCCTAGACACCTCCCTCCCGTGAAATGGCATTTGGTGAGAGGCCTGGGTTCGTCACCTTGGGGCCTCTCCATGGAGCGGCTTGAGTGTCTTACGGCATAGATGTCCTATGCCTTTCCCCGACAGCATGTGCTCCACGAGAGGGAGAGGGAGGAGACCCGGATGCAGCCACAGTGCCTTCTTTGTGACCTCGTCTTTGAAGTCCTGCACTGTCTCCCCTGCGTTTATCTAGGGCTTAGAATCGAGTCAGGGAGTCTGGCCACACTCCAGGGGAGGGAAATTTCCACCTTTTGAGGGAAAGACTCTCAAAGAATTTGCAGGTGTCTTTTATTTTCTTAAATGAATTTTGAGACAGAGTTTCGCCCTTTTTGCCCAGGCTGGAGTGCAATAGAACAATCTCACTGCAACCTCTGCCTCCCGGGTTCAAGCGATTCTCCTGCTTCAGCCTCCTGAGTAGCTGAGATTACAGGCACCTGCCACCACGCCTGGCTAATTTTTTGTATTTTTCGTAGAGACTGGGTTTCACCGTGTCAGCCAGGATGGCCTCAGTCTCCTGACCTTGTGACCCAACCTCCTGAGCCTCCTAAAGTGCTGGGATGACAGGAGTGAGCCACCTCACCCAGCCTAATTTTGTACTTTTAGTAGAGATGGGGCTTTCACCATGTTGGCCAGGCTGGTCTTGAACTCCTGACCTCAGGTGATCTGCCTGCCTCTGCCTCCCAAAGTGCTGGGATTACAGGTGTGAGCCACTCGCCTGACCAATTTTCTTAAAATTTAAAACATTAGTTTTTAATTTTTGTTGAGACAGGGTATTGTTCCGTTGCTCAGGCTGACATGCAGTGGTGTAGCTAGCTCAGTGCACCCTTATGTCCTGGGCTCGGCAACCCTCCTGCCTCCGCCTCCCAAGTATTTGGAACTACAGGTGTGCATCACCATATGCAACTGATTTTTCTTTTTTTTTTTTTTTTAACAACTGGTAATCAATTTATTAAAATAGTTGATTTAAGCACCTGCAGTGGCGACTTCCACCTCAACTCCTGGCTCAATACTGTTGGAGGTCATCTGCTTAAGAATCTCAAAGGACTGTGCAAGTCAGTGAGTCACTTGTGGATTCGCTGTCTTTTTTTTTTCTGAGATGAAGTTTCACTCTTGTCGCCCAGGCTGGAGTGCAATGGTATGATCTCGCTGCAACTTCTGCCTCCCAGGTTCAAGCGAGTCTCCTGCCTCAGCCTCCGGAGTAGCTGGGATTACAGGCATGTGCCACTATGCCCAGCTAATTTTGTCTTTTTAGTAGAGATGCGGTTTCTTCATGTTGGTCAAGCTGGTCTCGAACTCCCTACCTCAGGTGATCCGCTCACCTCTGCCTCCCAGAGTGCTGGGATTATAGGTGTGAGCCACCGCGCCTGGCACTTGTGGATTCTAATCTGGAAACGACCCCATGTCTTAGAACCTTTACCACAAGGAGTTTTTCTTGTGATTCTCACAGTCTTGGTAGGCGTTTGAACTGGTCCTTTCCCTTTGAGATTCTTTTCAAAACTTTGCTCCTCTGATCAAGTCAGCACATTCCTTCCCCGGGGATGTTAGAGTGATTGGAATCAGTGAACTCCCACCTCCCGCTCCACGGGTGTTTTTCTAGTATCCTTAAAAGCCACGGCTGCTGCCCGGCTTCCTGACCAACTTGCTCCTCAGCCAGAGCGAACAGCGGTCAGTCAGGAGCAGGAGCGTGCGGATCCACAACCCAAAACTACCACGACTGCGTCTTCCTCAAAGAGCTCTTTTGAGGCAGAGTCTGTTACCCAGGCTGGAGTGCAGTTGTGAGATCTCCGCTGCTGCATCCTTGACCTCCTGGGCTCAAACGATCTACCCACCTTGGCTTCCCAAAGTACTGAGATTACAGGTGTGAGCCACCAGCCGCTAATGTTTTAAAAACTTTAGAGACTGGGTCTCACCATGTTGCCCAGGTTGGTCTCGAACTCCTGGCCTCAAGGGACCTGCCCGCCTCGGCCTCTCAAAATGTTGCGATTACAGGCATGAGCCACTGTGCCTGCCAAGTGATTTTTTAAGCCATCACATTATGGGAGATCTGGGGGGCTGCCTCAGCTGGACTCTGCCTCCGATTGGGCCTGAGCCATGGCCCTTGATGACCCCTGCACTTTTCATCTTACATTTAAATCACACTTTCAGCCAAGTCACATTTGACAATAAAGGGCCCCAAGCATACAGATCTCCAGTGCACAGCATATGCACCTGCACAGCTACCACTTGGGTCAAAAGGTAGGACACTGTCATCACCCCCAGAAGTCATCTCTTTTCGCTTGGTACCGTCTGGAGCTAATTACTCTTGCGGCATCTGTTCATTTTGTCTCTTCTTGAAGTCCGGCCCCTTTTACTCAGTATCTGGGCAGTTTGTCCATGTTATTGGGTGTGGCGGTGGTTCGCGCTTTTTCATTGCTGTATAGTGTTCCAGTGTGTGAATGTACCACAGCTTGCTTCCCACTCTGGTGGTTTTGTTTTTTGGGATGGAATCTTGCTCCCTTGCCCAGGCTTGAGTGTAGTGGCACAATCCCTGCTCACTGCAACCTCTGCCTTCTGGGTTCAAGCCATTCTCCTGCCTCATCCTCCTGAGTTGCTGGGATTACAGGCACCGGCAAGCATGCCTGGCTAATTTTTCTATTTTAGTAGAGAAACGGTTTTGCCACGTTGGCCAGGCTGGTCTTGAACTCCTGACCTCAGCTGATCCACCCACCTCGGCCTCCCAAAGTGCTGGGATTACAGGCTTGAGCCACTGTACCCAGCCCCCACTCTTGTTGATTGAGAGGCATTTGGGTTTCTTGTGAATAAAGCTGCACTGAACATTTTATTTGTTTGTTTATTTTTTGCGACAGGGTCTTATTCTGTTGCCCAGGCTGGAGTGCATTGGTGCAATCACAGCTCACTACGGCCTCCATCTCCTGGGCTTAAACGATCCTCCCACTTGAGCCTCTTGAGTAGCTGGGAGTA